GGACTGACTGGCCCCCACCAGGGGGAGACTGGCCCCCACCAGGGGGAGACTGACTGGCCCCACCAGGGAGGAGACTGACTGGCCCCCACCAGGGGGAGAATGACTGGCCCCCCACCAGGGGGGACTGACTGGCCCCCACCAGGGGGAGAATGACTGGCCCCCACCAGGGGAGGACTGACTGGCCCCACCAGGGGGAGACTGACTGGCCCCCACCAGGGGGAGACTGATGGCCCCCAACAGGGGGAGACTGACTGGCCCCCACCAGGGGGAGATGACTGGCCCCCAACAGGGGGAGACTGACTGGCCCCCACCAGGGGAGACTGATGGCCCCCACCAGGGGGGAGGGACTGACTGGCCCCCACCAGGGGGAGACTGACTGGCCCCCACCAGGGGGAGACTGACTGGCCCCCACCAGGGGGAGACTGACTGGCCCCCACCAGGGGGAGACTGACTGGCCCCACCAGGGGGAGACTGACTGGCCCCCACCAGGGGGAGACTGACTGGCCCCCACCAGGGGAGACTGACTGGCCCCCACCAGGGGGAGACTGACTGGCCCCCACCAGGGGGAGACTGACTGGCCCCCACCAGGGGGAGATGATGGCCCCCACCAGGGGGAGGACTGACTGGCCCCCAACAGGGGGAGACTGACTGGCCCCCACCAGGGGGAGACTGGACTGGCCCCACCAGGGGGAGACTGACTGGCCCCAGGGGGAGCTGACTGGCCCCACCAGGGGAGACTGACTGGCCCCCACCAGGGGGAGACTGACTGGCCCCCACCAGGGGGAGACTGACTGGCCCCCACCAGGGGGACTACTGACTGGCCCCCACCAGGGGAGACTGACTGGCCCCCCCAGGGGGAGACTGACTGGCCCCCACCAGGGGGACTGACTGGCCCCACCAGGGGGACTGACTGGCCCCCACCAGGGGGAGACTGACTGGCCCCACCAGGGGAGACTGACTGGCCCCCACCAGGGAGACTGACTGGCCCCCACCAGGGGGACTGACTGGCCCCCACCAGGGGGAGACTGACTGGCCCCCACCAGGGGGAGACTGACTGGCCCCCACCAGGGGAGACTGACTGGCCCCCACCAGGGGAGACTGACTGGCCCCCCCAGGGGGAGACTGACTGGCCCCCCAGGGGGAGACTGACTGGCCCCCACAGGGGGAGACTGACTGGCCCCACCAGGGGGAGACTGACTGGCCCACCAGGGGGAGACTGACTGGCCCCCACCAGGGGGAGACTGACTGGCCCCCACCAGGGGGAGGACTGACTGGCCCCCACCAGGGGGAGACTGACTGGCCCCCACCAGGGGGAGACTGACTGGCCCCCACCAGGGGGAGACTGACTGGCCCCCCACCAGGGGGAGACTGACTGGCCCCCACCAGGGGGAGACTGACTGGCCCCCACCAGGGGGAGACTGACTGGCCCCCACCAGGGGGAGACTGACTGGCCCCCACCAGGGGGAGACTGACTGGCCCCCACCAGGGGGAGACTGACTGGCCCCCACCAGGGGGAGACTGACTGGCCCCCACCAGGGGGAGACTGACTGGCCCCCACCAGGGGGAGACTGACTGGCCCCCACCAGGGGGAGACTGACTGGCCCCCACCAGGGGGAGACTGACTGGCCCCCACCAGGGGAGACTGACTGGCCCCCACCAGGGGGAGACTGACTGGCCCCCACCAGGGGGAGACTGACTGGCCCCCACCAGGGGAGACTGACTGGCCCCCACCAGGGGGAGAGACTGGCCCCCACCAGGGGAGACTGACTGGCCCCCACCAGGGGGAGCTGACTGGCCCCCACCAGGGGAGACTGACTGGCCCCCACCAGGGGGAGACTGACTGGCCCCCACCAGGGGGAGACTGACTGGCCCACACCAGGGGGAGACTGACTGGCCCCCACCAGGGGGGAGGACTGACTGGCCCCCACCAGGGGGAGGACTGACTGGCCCCACCAGGGGGGAGAATGACTGGCCCCCACCAGGGGGAGACTGACTGGCCCCCACCAGGGGGAGACTGACTGGCCCCCACCAGGGGGAGACTGACTGGCCCCACCAGGGGGAGACTGACTGGACCCACCAGGGGAGGACTGACTGGCCCCCACAGGGGGAGACTGACTGGCCCCCACCAGGGGGGAGACTGACTGGCCCCCACCCAGGGGGAGACTGACTGGCCCCCACCAGGGGGAGACTGACTGGCCCCCACCAGGGGGAGACTGACTGGGCCCCCACCAGGGGGAGACTGACTGGCCCCCACCAGGGGGAGACTGACTGGCCCCCACCAGGGGGAGATGACTGGCCCCCCACCAGGGGGAGACTGACTGGCCCCCACCAGGGGGAGACTGACTGGCCCCCACCAGGGGAGACTGACTGGCCCCCACCAGGGGGAGACTGACTGGCCCCCACCAGGGGGAGACTGACTGGCCCCCACCAGGGGGAGACTGACTGGCCCCCACCAGGGGGATGGCCCACCAGGGGGAGACTGACTGGCCCCCACCAGGGGGAGACTGACTGGCCCCTCACCAGGGGGAGACTGACTGGCCCTCACCAGGGGGAGACTGACTGGCCCCACCAGGGGGAGACTGACTGGCCCCCCACCAGGGGGAGACTGACTGGCCCCCACCAGGGGAGACTGACTGGCCCTCACCAGGGGGAGACTGACTGGCCCTCACCAGGGGGAGACTGACTGGCCCTCCACCAGGGGGAGACTGACTGGCCCTCACCAGGGGGAGACTGACTGGCCCCCACCAGGGGGAGACTGACTGGCCCTCACCAGGGGGAGACTGACTGGCCCCCACCAGGGGGAGACTGACTGGCCCCACCAGGGGAGACTGACTGGCCCCCACCAGGGGGAGACTGACTGGCCCCCACCAGGGGGAGACTGACTGGCCCCCACCAGGGGGAGACTGACTGGCCCCCACCAGGGGGAGACTGACTGGCCCCCACCAGGGGGAGACTGACTGGCCCCCACCAGGGGGAGACTGACTGGCCCCCACCAGGGGGAGACTGACTGGCCCCCACCAGGGGAGACTGACTGGCCCCCACCAGGGGAGACTGACTGGCCCCCACCAGGGGGAGACTGACTGGCCCCCACCAGGGGGAGACTGACTGGCCCCCACCAGGGGAGACTGGACTGGCCCCCACCAGGGGAGACTGACTGGCCCCCCACCAGGGGGAGGACTGACTGGCCCCCACCAGGGGGAGACTGACTGGCCCCCCCACCAGGGGGAGACTGACTGGCCCCCACCAGGGGGAGACTGACTGGCCCCCACCAGGGGGAGACTGACTGGCCCCCCCACCAGGGGGAGACTGACTGGCCCCCACCAGGGGGAGACTGACTGGCCCCCACCAGGGGGAGACTGACTGGCCCCCCACCAGGGGGAGACTGACTGGCCCCCACCAGGGGGAGACTGACTGGCCCCCACCAGGGGGAGACTGACTGGCCCTCACCAGGGGGAGACTGACTGGCCCTCACCAGGGGGAGACTGACTGGCCCTCACCAGGGGGAGACTGACTGGCCCTCACCAGGGGGAGACTGACTGGCCCTCACCAGGGGGAGACTGACTGGCCCTCACCAGGGGGAGACTGACTGGCCCCCCACCAGGGGGAGACTGACTGGCCCCCACCAGGGGGAGACTGACTGGCCCCCACCAGGGGGAGACTGACTGGCCCCCACCAGGGGGAGACTGACTGGCCCCCACCAGGGGGAGACTGACTGGCCCCCACCAGGGGGAGACTGACTGGCCCCCACCAGGGGGAGACTGACTGGCCCCCACCAGGGGGAGACTGACTGGCCCCCACCAGGGGGAGACTGACTGGCCCCCCCACCAGGGGGAGACTGACTGGCCCCCCCACCAGGGGGAGACTGACTGGCCCCCCCACCAGGGGGAGACTGACTGGCCCCCCCACCAGGGGGAGACTGACTGGCCCCCCCACCAGGGGGCTTGCAGCAAGCAGCCCACGGCGCGTCCGCTCTGCCACCTCGCGGCCGACGCCGTGAGCCCCCCCCCCCCCGCCTCCCCCAGCCCTGGGGGGGGGGGGGGGGCTCGTCGTGCTGCGTGCGGACCTCGCCTTGCCCTGGCTGCGTGCAGCTGAGCAGCGTTATTGCTAGCGGGGGTGGAGGGGCGTCGATTAAATTATAAAAAATAATTAATAATGATAATGTTTAATAACTCTGATTTAGTTAGATTTTTTTCAAAAAATGTGTTTGCCGGTGCTTGCTTATCATTAGTTATTATAATGTATTATTATAATTAGTTATTATTTGGAATCATTACTTAATTTTAATTATTATTTCTGTAAGGCGCAGTCGCCACAGGATATCCGCTCCGTCGTTCTCAGAGAGAGGAGCTGCAGGCGAGCGGTCGAGGCGGCAGCAGTAGCAGCAGTAGGAGCAGTAGGAGCAGCAGTAGCAACAGTAGCAGCAGCAGTAGCAGGAGCAGTAGCAGCAGCAGTAGGAGCAGTAGCAGCAGTAGCAGAAGCAGTAGCAGCAGTAGCAACAGTAGCAGCAGCAATAGCAGCAGCAGGAGCAGCAGCGGCAGTAGCAGCAGCAGTAGCGACGCGTTGAGCCAACGCCAAATTCCACTCCTCCAAGCTCTGTGGTCCTCTGCGCGTGAAGGCGTTATCGACCGAATTCACGAGGTGTCTGTACGTGGCAGGGAACCGGAGCACCCCGAGATACCCACGCATGCGATGGGGCAAGACGCTATCCCCGTACAGACGTGTACAGGTGGAGTTCTCGTTTGCCGTACCGCCGTCTCCTGGCGAGCCAGGGTACGGCTACGCATCGACGCCCACGGGGGAAGGGCGTTCCCAACATCTGTGTGTGATCCACCAATCCTCGCTGCTACTGCTGCTGCTGCCTCCACAGTGCTGGGTCACAGGCAGCCACGCGTGTAACCACCACCGGTGGCGAGTGAGGGTGGGCTCAGCAGCAGTGGCGGCGTGGTGGTGGGGGTCGAGTCGGTGACGGGGGTCGAGTCGGTGCCGGGGAGCGAACTCACGTCGTCCAGCTCGGGGAGCCCTCCCAGCTCCAGCTTGGAGTAGACCAGCTTGCCGTTCACCTTCACCTCGAAGCTGTCTGCAGGTGAGGGGTGTACAGGTGAGGTGTGTGATAGTGGTGGGTGTACAGGTGATGGGTGTACAGGTGAAGGCTGTACAGGTGAGGGGTGTACAGGTGAGCTTTACAGGTGAGGGGTGTACATGTGAGGGGCACAGGTGTGTGTATGTGGTTGAGGACGTTGTAATCTGAGTCCGCTGTGTTCTTACGCGGTGGGTCCAGGTGTCTCTGCGAGTCCCCCTAAGTAAGTGTGGTCATGTTTTGGGTTGCTTCCACATTGGGACCCGGTGGGCCCAGGTGGATACAAATTCTGTCCTGGTGATCTCGGGTTTCTTGTGAGTCTGTGTGAGTATGTGTGAGTCTGTGCGAGTCTGTGTGAGTCTGCATCGGGCCAGGGTAGGTACAGGTGAGTCCAAGGCCCTGTTTGCCCCACTTACTTTTCCTCCCCGTAACGCCGACGATCTCCACCCCCGGGAGCTCCGCTTGGACCCGGGACTCGAGCCCCCAGAAGCGGCTCTGGTGGCCGTTACCTCATCCCCCGCTGTGCACAGGGAAGGTCAGCGGCGGGGGGGGGGGGGGGTACTCAGGTGAGTAGCCAGGTGACTAGGCAAGTGACGAGGTGAGTGACTTGGTGATGGGACCAGAGAGTGACTAGATTCGTGGCTAGGTGAGTAGCCGGCTAAATGAGCGGGTGAGTGGCTAGGTAAAGAGACAGGCCATTAACCAGGTGAGTGAACGGATAAGAAAGCAGGTGAACTGCGAGGTCAATGATCGGATGAGTGGCCATGTGAATAGCCAGGTGAGCGCGCACGTGGTGCAGTATGTGCGTCGTGCCCGTGCAGGTGTACACTCACCAATACTCCACGTGCACCTTCACCCTCATGGCGGCACCTTCACCCGCTCCTCCTGGTCGGCCGAAACTGGTGAGCAACTCACCCGAGACACCAAACTCACCCGAGACAGCTCACCCGAGACCCACGCCTCCTTGTGAGACACCGCAGCCGAGACACCGCTTGAGTCAAGCCACCTGGGCGCCGCCCGCTCACCTTTGCCGTCCCCAGTAGCCAATCACAGACGCCACCCGCTCCCCACCAGTGAGGAGATGCGGGGGTGGGGGGACCTTGAAAGTCATTTTAAAGTCAGGGCGGCCTCTCTCGCCGCGTCTCCCCGTCGAGTCACCGTCTCTCAAATAGCGGCCAATGCTGGAGGCAGCCGACAGGTACCGGTAGGGAAGAGGGGGGGGGGGTCCGTCGTGTGTGTCGCGTGCACCCGGCCTGACACGTGCGCCGTCATGACGTCAGCCGGGGTTCGCGTGTACCACGTGGTCTTCAACAAAAAAAAGTTTGTGTCTCTCTCTCGGTGGTGGGGAGCGGTAGTGTAGCGGTCAGCGCTACGCTGCGCTACGAACCTGACGACCCGAGTTCGATTCTCGCTCACGGCCAACACCGGTGACGATTATCTAAACCGGTCCTGATCCTCCCCTAGGTCGACTCAGCCTCAAATGAGTACCTGGTGCGGTGTGTGTTCGCTAGCAGCACTTGCTGAGGCTCTGCGGGGGATCTCTGTCTTTGTCTCTCTCGGTGAGACGACGATCCCAGACGCGTGGGTTCGACTCCGGCTCACGGATTCACACGAGGGCAGTGGAGTGGTCGCGTGTGAGCGCCTCTCACGGACCTTCTCCAAGGTCGACCCCCCCCCCTCGCTTCCACGAGCCGTGAGGGCGAGGGGGTGCCCGCGGGTTCCCTCTGCTCGTGGGCAAATATTCAAAGTGCCCTATTCCATTGAGAAGTGAATTCCACCGTTGTCTTTAGTGGTACTATGCTATATATAACATAAAAACACTGTGAGATTTAACAAACAAAAAATTGCGTGCGAAAATAAATCGACGTAACTTGTGTCGTTTTTTGACAATTAGCCACATTTTCTGTCATTTTTTTTTCCTCTAAGAAGTGAACTTTCTAGGAAGTGAATTCTTCATAATCAACGTTTTTGGATTTAGATCGCGTTTTTATAAATGTGTCGTAACCCTCCACCACCCGACACGGCCAATCAGTGAACTAATTGTCTTTTGTCAACGTGACACTTTTTTACTGATTGGCCATGTCGGGTGGTGGAGGGTTACGACACATTTATAAATAACGCGATCTAAACCCAAAAACGTTGATTATGAATAACATTGGTCGCGAAAGCCTACGTGTTAAACTGAAGTGAATTCTCTAAGAAGTGAATTCTCTAGGAAGTGAATTATCTAAGAAGTGAACTCTCTATGAAGTGAATTCTCTAGGAAGTGAATTCTCTAGGAAGTGAATTCTCTAAGTGAATTCTCTAGGAAGTGAATTTTCTAGGAATTGAATTCCTCCCACTGCCTTGAGTCTTACTGTGCTATACATAAAATACAAACTGAGGAATTCAACAAATATTTTTTTCGCTTGCAAAGAAAATTGACGTACTAACCTTAGTCGTCTCTCCGCCCAAATTGTCCAAGTGTTTAGTTTGTAAGTGGTATCGCAATGATGAAAACATCACCGCTAGGAAGTTACCGAACTGGGTATCACGCAGCAGCAGCATCGCATCATACTCTATACTCATCATCATTGGCCGACGGTGGCAACACGTGTTGTCCCCCCCCCCCCCCACGACGGATGAGCACGGTTGGCTACGTACGGCGCGAAAGAAGTTCAACATACGAATAGAACATGCAACATGATAACAACAGCCAGGGTGAAGAGTGTGCAATCTGACGATGTTGAGCTGTGTGTCAATGCGGGCGTAGCCCATAGCTGTGTGTGTGAGGTTGTGCTGTGCCACTCCGAATCAGTCGAGCGGCATTATCTTTGCATCGGTTGCGTAACGCTGTGTGGAAGCTACCTGGTCTGTCGCTCCGCACGAAGCTTCAGGTCTTCTCGGCCACAGTCATTCCCTCCCTTCTCTACGCTTGCGAAACGTGGACCCCCCTAATGGAGCATGTTCGCCGGTTAGAAACATTTAGGCTGGCCTGCCTACGATCCATCCTGGGTTTAACCAGGCTGGATTGTGTGAGGAGCTCACAAATCCCTGAACGATCTGGGCAAAGTCCCATCGGTGAGCTCCTCCGGCAGGCAAGGTTGCGTTGGCTGGGTCATGAAGCCCGCATGCCCAGCCACCGCATGCCTAAACAGCTTTTGTTCGGCCGGATCGAGGGGGCTAAACGGGCGCGACACGGGCTAGAGAAGAGATGGAGTGATGTGGTACAGGAGGACGTGGAGCTGAGTGGACTTGCCGATGACTGGTACCAGCGGTGTCAAGATCGACCTCTGTGGAGGAGGCTCGTGAAGGACGCTACTGGACAGTTGGAGGCAGTCGCCCTCAACAACGGGGGGCGGAGGAGCGACGCTCACAATAATGAGCGGAGCGCCGGGTGGATAAAGCACAGCAAGTTGGTACAGTAGGGGGCACAGGTGGTGCATCAGCTAGTCATCTCAGTCAGTCGACCCGTGGCACCTGGGTCTGCCCCGTGACCTCCCAGCGGGCGTTCGACACTTCACATGGCCTCAAGGTGCACATGGCCTGGCACGAGCGTCGTGGTGACGTCACCGCCACTTAGTGTCGAATGGCGGTTGTTGTTGCTGTGCCACGGGTGCAAGGGGTGATTGTGTGCACACACACAACGGTGTCTGTGCTGACGACAGGGACGCCACCCAACAAACACGGACTTTTGGCAAGAAAAGCGCCACACTGATGGCAAAGATAGTGACGACATTTGCTGGAGATGGTTTAATCAAAATGTTGGATCTGAAATGTCATCGCCGGGACTTGATGGCCCAGGTGATGTCACCACGCCAGCGCTGGTGCAACGTCGACCGATGTGTTCACTGGCGACTGACACCGGCTCATCCAGATCCATTTATTGATCCACGCGGGTTCGCGAACACAAGGTTGCAGATGACGACAGGGCAACGTTGATAAATGCGGCCTGCGTTCTTGTTGGAACTCGTGAGTCTCCCAAAAGGTCGATTCGAGGCCAACCCGGTAAATATGGAACGTTGGTCCCAACCGTAGCAACCAATCACATGCCAACGTTGGAACGGCAGTTGGACATGTCACGTGGGCTGGCTCAATGCGTGTTTATGGACAAGCGCCTTCATCGATCCATGGAGTGGGCGTCGTTATTTGACCAAATTTAGTTCAATCCGGAATTCTGCTGAAGTTTGCATTATTGTTGTTATTATTATACCAACTCTAATTATACAACTTAACCACAATTATATTCTACCCAATATAAAGTGAGAACAATTTGCCATGCGGATATTGAGAGGTGAGAGAGAGGAAATCGCGCAGTCGCAGTGCGGATGGAACAACAGTTTGGATTTATGTTGCAATGCAGAAGGTCCATTGCCTGAAACGTCGCCTATTATTCACTTTTGTATTTTAAGGCCACACAGTGTTATTGACGAATTGTGCAATGAGCAACAAACAACAGCAGCAGCAGCATCACCAAGCGATGTGTGTAACGAGGATGGAACACTGAAACGATTCCTAGTCGGGATTCGATCCACGAATCGCGACCGGTTACGTTCCAACCGAGGCGGTGAGTGGTTGGTGCCTGCGGTGTTGGCCACATGGCTCGCAGGAACCCGCTCCGCACAGCCCCGAGCGACTCGAGGAGCATCACCGATTGGTCGATGCGCGGATGAGTCGATGTCGATCGCCGGATCTGTGCGTCATCGCTCCATCCTCGACATCACCGTCCGGGGGCAGTCCCACAAATTCAGTCGCGCCGTTCGGCCACGTGGCAGACGTGGCTGCCACGTGGCAGACGGGGCTGGCACGTGGCAGACGTGGCTGGCACGTGGCAGACGTGGCTGGCACGTGGCAGACGTGGCTGGCACGTGGCAGACGTGGCTGGCACGTGGCAGACGTGGCTGGCACGTGGCAGACGTGGCTGGCACGTGGCAGACGTGGCTGGTGTTGAACACGCTTTCGGCTATCGCGGCCAGCGCGGTGTCGCGAGTCGCAAGTCACTGTTGGGTCCAGGTCGCGCAGGTACAACTCCAGTGTTGTGTGATGCACCCTCCACCACCCGACGCAGCCAGATAAAGGAAGTTGTCACGTACCCACTTGTTCAATGTATTGTTGTGTGCATCGCTTTCCAGAACAAGCGATGGTGTTGCTACTGAAACGGTAATTAGTTGTCCACGTTATTGGTTTGGCTGTGTCGGGTGGAGGAGGGTGTACGACACACAACATTACGTGGCAAATTTGACCCAAACACAAACAAATCTATCGTGAATCACGTGTGTGTAATCATTTGCGTCATCACAAAGTGGCACGTTGACATGGGCATCATGTGTCATCCAGTTAGAACCGCGATTCAGATCGTGACAGCTTGGCCACCTTTCTGGATACAAGGGAGAAATGGTTCGGACCAACTCGGACGAACTGACTTGATCATCCGAGATCCGACGGTGGCGTTATCGGTTCTGCGTTTACCCGTCAGTCCATCACGTTGGTCCGTACAGAACCTATATTTTCCAAAAAACGTTTGAGATAATTACCTTCAAATGCACCATACGAATTGTTTGGCCAAACATCCAAATGTAGGATCGCAGGGCTTGGGCAATTTGCTAAGCGCCGATTCTGGCCGCGCCCTCTGAATCATTCTCGATATCTCTCTCTCTCACCAAAAGCAGCGCGTTACAAGCTCTACGTGGCTCTACGGGACTCCACAGGACTCCACAGGACGATAATAATTATACAGAACAGCGTAGGCCGGCCCCGTGGGTGTAACTGCGAGCAGCGACACGACAAAGCGCGACCCCCCCACCCACCCAGGCGACCCTCCTCCCACCGCGGTGCCGCACACAGCAGCCCACGGCCGACACCCCCCACCCACTCCCCCCCCCCGTGCTCCCCGTGCCGTCCATCAGTGCCCAGGTATCGGCAGAGCCGTTTCTGCTGGGCCATCACCGAGCAGGCGAGGCGGGGGGGGGCGGTGGTGGTGGTGGTGATCGAGGATCAGCGCCTACTGGAGGCAGCAGCTCTGACGGCACTTGGTGATCTTCTGCAGCGGCTTGCCCTGCACAGCGCCGCGGATCGCCGCCACCAC